GCTTCCAGATGACTGACTTGAGCAAAGCGTCGAACATCATGACTTCACGCCATGTATACACATGGAAGTTTGTCAAGAACGAGAAGGGCGAAATGGAACGGACGATCAGGTTACGCTTGGTACTTCGTGGCTTCATGGACATTGAAGCCTTCGAGGTCGAAACCTTCTCTGGCGCGGCAAGGAGGTCAAACCAGAGATTGCTCGCAAGTTCTGCTGCATGCAACAAAGCTTGGATCATCGCTTCCCTGGACATCAACATGGCTTTCTTGAAGGGACTGACTTATGGCGAGCTCGCCGCGGCAACTGGCGAGAAAGGGCGTGTGGTGTGCTTCACACTACCTCCTGGGTCAGCAGCTGTCCTTCGCACATTGCCAGGCTTTGAGTCATATGACGAATCAAAGCATTGTCTTCGGTGCCTCAAGCCGGGGACTGGCACGAAGGATGCTCCCAGGGCATTCTCGCTGAAGCTCAGGTCCATCACCAGGAGCTTTGGACTACAGCCTACTTCATACGATGAAGAGTTCGAGATGAGTTCAAACCTCTTGACAGCCAAACACGTTGATGACATCAATATGACTGGGAAGGAAGATTCCATTGACAAGTACGTCAAATGTGTTGAAGATACGTTTGGAAGTGCAAACTGAACAAGCACACATACACAAATTGTGCCGTTCGGTACAACAAGACCGATGATGGGAGCGTCACTCTTGATCAGGACGAATACATCAAACAACTTCGTCCTATCACACATCCAGAGCTCACAGGCGCTGATCCTGAGAGCAAAGCGACAAAGACGATTTCTGATATGTTCGTCAGTCTTCGTGGCGCTCTAGCCTATGCGTTGATCACGCAGGTATGGCTGATGGTCTATGTTGTTTCACTGCAACGTATCCAGGAACCGACAAACATCCAGGTACGACGACTGAACGCGGTTACCAGGAAATTGCAGGCAGGTCCGAAGAAGATCGTGTATCAAGCTATGACTCCAACAGGAGAGGTCGACCTGCATAGCGATTCTGGCTATCGTCGTCTCAACGGAGATGAAGACGACGAAGTCAAGGGCTACGGTATCCGCGGGGCTAACCTGCTGAGGCGTGGCCACACGCAAGCGGGGAAACCCGTCGTGCACCTGGTGGACGCATACTGCAAGTCTCATCGACTGCAGGTGCGTTCGAGCTACTCTGCGGAAACACTGGCAGCAGCCCACAACTTGGAAGACTGCTACCCGACCATTGTAACGCTCCACGAGCTACACTCGGGACCATTGACCCCCACACAGTTAAAGAACATATTGGAAATGGGTGGTCTATGTATCAAAGTCACTCTGACTATTGATGCCGAGTCTGTCTTCAAGTCTTTGTCTAGCAAAGATCTGAAGAAGCCCACAGAATGCACTCTGCTTGGGCACATCAGCTGGATCCGCCAGATGATGGAGCGCGGAATCGTTGAAAGCGTCCAATGGTGTGACACGCGGGATATGACTGCCGATGGTCATACCAAAGGTAGTATTGACCGCGCGTTGCTCCTACAGGTAATGGCCGGTCAGCAATCCTTCAAGCACGAGCTGAAGAAACATACTCCGTATAGGGCGGGCAGGTCGTCTCAGGACGGCCCTGCCTCCCGAGCTAGCGGGGAAACCCGCACGCAGGTGCGCTTTAGTAGCGAGGAAACTCGCCGGTAGCGAGGCTACTCGCGCGCCCTTGCCTTGTAGGCAGCCGCTGTTGCCTAGCACTGTTTTTTCCGCGTAATGTAGAAATTCGGTGCTTGCTCGTCTCCTCCCCCTCCAACTTTAAACGGAGAGGGTTAAAGGCGAGATGTACATCGAGCATGCGCCGCTGCCGTGCCTGGCTCAAGCCGGGCCCGGCCGAACATGTGATTGTGCCTCACCGAGGCGCACTACTCGCATCTGAGATCGGAAAAGACCTTTCTATTGAAGATGCCCCTTCTATCCTTTACTCCAGATCCCATGCTTCATCTTGCTCTCTTGCTCATGCGGTATGAGCCAAAGCCTGGGATATGGGAGCGCCTAAGGCGGAACATATATCTTGGCTTACCAGTGCGTTTTCGACTTCCGCTGGCGAGCTCGCCCCCCCCCCCCCCGCCTTCCCACGGCCCCCCCATGCGATTTTAGGCCCCCGGGGTGGGAAATGGGGGGGGGACAGCGAATCATCTTACACGCCTTTTCACCCCCGGCGAGCGGAGGTCGGCGGATGATGGGAAGCGTCTTCGAAGGCCCTGGCTCGAGCGTTTCTGGCGATTAACGTCGTGTCAGCGGGGTCGCAAACACCCGCGCAGCATGGCTCCCAGTCGATGGCAGTGCATGATGTGTTTCGTCTCTCTTCTTCTCGCTTTCGCTAGCCGGCTCAATCCGCGCTGGAGGGCCGAGCGTTCGGTGACGACGCGATCACCGTGGAGTTCCGCGTGGTCATCTGATACCGATGATAGGAGCGAGCCAGTGCACAACATCAGAGGCTTTCACCGTGCCTGCCGTGCCATTATCGCCAGACGGCGAGCGTGGTCGTGCTCCGATCTCAAAGTAGGTCAGGACGTTGGCAGACCGACGCAATGGGGCTACTCAACTCGGCGACGCAGAAGCAGCAACAGCTTCTGGATATGCGTGGGGGCCAGGGTGTTGGAGCGCGACGGGACCTCGATTATCTCGCTGTCGTGCTGTAACATGGTCATTTGGGTCGAGGAAGTTCAGGATGATCCCGACACCACAGGCCATCGTGTACGCTAGACGCCAGCCTTTGGACCGACGTATCTGCTACCTCGACGTAACAGAGTTGAGGGCCCTCAGCAAGGTCTGTCCACGGCTGCGCAACAAAGCGGCCATCGCGCTCACCAGATGGCTTGTGTGGGACCTGGCAGTTACCAAGTAGCTTGGCTTCCTGCGCGCTTACATCCGATGGTTCACCCGGTGTTTGCGGCCGACTACATTAACTAATTCCGTGACCTTCGGATTAAGCAGAACGGGAAGCTGGTGCAGTACTCTTCCGTGGCCCGTGAGAGCCGGCAGTGATCGTAGTCTTCAGACTCGGCCAAGTTTCGCTGCTCTCGCCCTGGTGAGGTTTTCAGCTGTTGTACAATTTAGTTTTGTGTTTTGTTTCCAACGGTGGCGTGTCTCCTGCCTTTCCGTTGTCCTTGGCCTGCTGAGCTGGTGACTTTGAGTTTTGCTCGGCCCGCAGCCCGCAGACTTGTGGGCGATCTATCTGTCTGCCGCCCTGGTTTCACCACCCTGGAGCGTTGCCGACTTTGCACTGCTGGTAAGGGCGGCTCCAGCATTGGTGTTCTATGCTTTCTATGCCTGCCGCGCTGCGCCGTTTGAGTTTCTTTGCCTGCCACCAGTCCCTTGGTCAGAGGACCAGGTGCTGATGTGCGAACCTCCCGCCAAGAGGGCTGTATGCTCCCCATGTGACGTCTATGGGTGCGCATGCGCGCGGGCCAACCACGCGGTTGGCCTTGTGATAGTTCGCAGGACTTCTTCATTTGGGGTAGCGGTCGTTAAAAACACGTCTTCGAATAACGAGAAGCGAGCTGGGCTGCCTGGCTGAATTTTTAGCATCTAGAAGCCCCTAGCCATATGCAGTGGCCGATTGCGCTGGATTGTTCGTTGGCGGATGACGGGAAGCGCTTAGACTCGAAGAGTCGCGCGATGGACCTTTTCTCCAGGCCCAGAGGGAAATCCTTGTACCAACTGGGGAGGTCCATAAAAGGGGAGAACGGCTCGGGGTTGCTCCCATATCGGGTGACGGGAGGCGCGCTTGGATTCGAAGAGTCGCGCGATGGATGTCGTCTGCTGGCTGGAGGGCTAAACTTGTTTCAAGTAGGGAGGTCCAGGAGGGGAACGGCTGAGCGCGCTTCCGGTCGGATGACGGGACGCGCGCTTAGCTTCGAAGGGTCAGGCGATGGACGTCGTTTCCAGGCCTGGAGGGAACTACTTGTATCCCAGGAGGGAAACGCACGCAGACACATAATCGTCGATACCTAGTAAATATGGTGACATCTGGCACGTGTGTGTGTGTGTGTGGAGGAAGACGAATATCAAGGACATATTTGAACATTTTGGGGGATCTTGAGATTTGAGTGCATTTATTTGCGTGTCCCTGGGGGGATATATTTATAGCAGGCGCCCGCCGAGGGCCTCCGAAAAAACGAAAAAAAAAACGACCCCCCCGAGGGCCGCCGAGGGCCTCCGAAGGGCCGCCGGTGGGCCGCAGCCGCCAGCGGCGCGCCCTTCTCGCGCGCAACTCGCGCGAAAGTCGGGGGCGACGATTCGTCCTCCGTAAGAACATGCCCGCTGATATTCTCCATTGGATTCTTCCTGGGCCTCGGGGGAGGGTGGCGGTGTAAATATCACCATTGAGAGCCAACGATTTTATACACCGCCACCCTCCTGAAAGGTCTATGCGAAGGTCGTCGGATGGGGCTCAGTGTATATATCTTCGTGGCGCAGAGACGGGCGATTGGCCAACGGGGGGAGCAGTACACGCATCCACTGTGGCGCCGACGGCTTGTGTCCTCAGCGAGGCTCCCCAGAGAACGCGTGGCATGCCCACCCCTGGGCCATTCGCCCCTGTCGCCGCCTCCGAGAAGAGGCCGCCGGCGCGGGCGGCGGCGCGGACTTCGGCTTTCAGAACGACGACTTCCCGGCGCTCGGGGCCATCGGGCGGCAGGCGCGCGGGGGGGGCGCGGCGCGCCCGCGGGCGCAGGGAGCGTCGTCGACGTGGGCGTGGTCGTGGTCGCAGGCAGGGCCGTCGTCGTCGTCGTCGTCGTCGTCGTCGTCGTCGTCGTCGTCGTCGTCGTCGTCGTCGACGTCGTCGACGTCGTCGTCGTCGTCGTCGTCGTCGTCTGGCGTCGGCTTCGTCGTCGCTGCCATGGTATGTAGTTCGCATGCGTGCATGGCGGCGAGTGTGTCGGAGGGGCTTATCGCGTTGTTCTTTTATTGTGGATGGGTGGGGGTGGGGGAGGGGCCGACAGTTTGTCTTTCGTGGTCATCCTGACATGATCCTGAACGTCATTCAGGCACATAGTAGGCAATGTCGCGATGCCATGCGCACGCGCGGACGAGTTTAGTGAACACATCGGGCGCCATTGACTAGTGGAGTTAGTTGTGCGCTGTTATTATAAGTGGGAAGTGTTGTACAGAGCTGAGAAGCTGGTCCCCTGGAGGAGTCAAGTTTAACCTCAATGTACGCATCCCCACGTGTTTTACCTCAGCTGGCTCCACTTGTGTTTTTCAGCTTGCTCAGCCTACCTTGCGTATGGTCTGTCATTGTACCTGCCTGGAGAGTGCTCATGGGCGCATTCGGAGCGTTTCACCGATACTCGCAGTTCAAAGGGGTTCAGTGCCATTCATTGAGGTGCTCCTATTTGTGTTTTCCCTGACACCTCGTCAGGCGAGCTTCGACCGGACCGCGGGCCACCAGGCGGCGTGCTATCTCCGCCTCTGTGCATTGCTGATCTAACGCCCAACCCCAAACACCACAGCCGCCGCCAACAGTGCCGCCACCGCCACCGCCGCCATCTCCCACCACCGCCAACCACCGCCGCCATCACTGTCAGCACCGCGCACCACACTTCCTCCACAAATCACACCAGCCCTAGCCACCGCTTCTTTCGCTAGCATGTGCTTGGGCAAGAACCCACCTCCGAAGCACGTGGTAGCAGTGATTGCGGGTGTTGTATGCGATAGCGATGGTGACGGGTTGTTTGCATGCAGCCTGGGAACGCCCCGTCTAACGACCTGGTCCGGTCAATACAGCGAGCTCAGGAGGATTGAGGAGGGGCCAGGCGAGTGGGGAAAGGTCTCTTAGCAGCCCGCAGGAAACGTGGTAATTCTTTGTGTCCAGACTTTTGTTCCCCACATCTTAAGTGGGGTTTTTGTTTTCTCTGGGCACTCGGCGCAGACCTCTCCCCACTCCCCTTCTGCTCCTCATCAGCGTCACACCATCATCATCGACACCACATCATCACAATCATCATCATCATCATCATCATCATCATCATCATCATCATCATCATCAAGCCCTGGCCCGAGGTCCCAGGGCATGAGGGCCAGTTCCGCAGCCCTCATTTTCTGCCTCACATCGGTGCTGCGATGTGCGACCACCCGCATGAAGATTGCGCAATGGAACCCTCCTTGAGCGACTATGACAGGAGACTAGAGGTGGCACAACAGCTACGATTCGCAGATGTGGTGCTGCTTGCAGGCACAACGGTGAAGAGGCAGCGAGACGCACCCACGTACCACGACGTGTCTCTCCATGAACAGTTCATTATGATCAAGTTTGGATGGCAGGGCCCAAGAGGAGCGATGGTCAACAAATCTTGTGGAGTGGAGATATGGCTGAGTCGGAGACGATTTCGAAGGGCACAGCTGGTACACTTCTGGGCAGTCCCACAGGGGTTGCAAGGACGACTGGGCGCTGTACGAGTGAGATCAAGCCAGCACGACTTCACCTTTGTGGTCAGCTACTTTCTCCCGAGGTGCACAGATGCCAAGAGTATACCGAAGTATGAGGCGACGGTCAGGAAGCTGGTTGAACAGTTACAACAGATTGCTGCGGGGACCCCCAACCGATCCACGATGATTGCGGCGACGGATCTAAATGATGGCTTGGGTATACGGAGTGTCGACGGCATACAGCAAGCAGTGGACAGTCAGAGTTTAGGGCCCCACGGACGCAGCATTGAGCATCAAGCGGGTGCACAATACCGAGACCGGATGGAGCAGAGCAACCTGGCAGCGATTACGAGCTGGTATCCCTGTGGCCCAACTTATTACGGCCACCGCAGCTGCAGCCATATTGATCATATGGTGATCTCTGCCCCTTGGATGTGCCGTGTGAAGTGCTGTGCTGTCGCGTACTCCCTCACGAGACGGGTACGTGCGATACCTAGTGTGGCGGTGCTGGATCACATGATTATTGTTGCGGAAGTGGACTATGAGCTCACGTGCAGGGCGCCTGCCAACCACGACGTATACTGGGACTACCTCTCACTCGGACGTGCGATGAATGACGAGGAGGAGGCACTACAGTTCCGAGAGGAGGTGGAGGTGGCACTGGCGAAGCAACTACACGAGGACGGCTACCTGGAGGTGGATGCCTGGATGCGCGCACACACGCTCGAGACAGCCTGGGAGAAGGTGGTGAAGACGATCCGCGCGGTTGCCCAAGCCCGGTACAGTACGACACGTCGACATCGGCCGCAGTGGTACGTCGAGATGGCGAGAGAAAGGGAAGCTGCGCTGAGGGCTCGCACCAGAACACGGGACAAGCTCGACGGCGACCTGGACAGCATACGACGACTTCGACAGTGTACGCGACGATGCAAGCAAGCAAGGGTGACCATCAAGAGAGAACGACAGCGTGAGCAGAATTGCGAATTGGAGGAGGCACTACGAGGCAACCGTGAAGATCTAGCCTGGGGGATCAGTTTTCAGATGGCGGGCAATGGATTGGGGCCACGGAAGCGGAATCATTACATACTACTTGATGCCAGGCCCGACCTACAAACGTGGGCGGAGGACTTGGCGCTGAGTGGACGGGAGGGTGGGGTGGAGGCCATTGCCACCACGGCGGAGGAGTTTATTGGTGCGGCGTCCGCCCACGACTATCCATTCTACCCTGAGATGGAGCATTGGGAGCAAGCCAACCGTGATCTGGATGGAGTAATTGCGAAGCTATACCAAGGACGACGCCGACGAGCAGCGCCACCGTGGTCACTACCGATGGAGGTCTGGAGTGCTCTTCTCACCTGCCGTGCGCCCCGACGCACCACCAATGAACAACCAGCTGTGGCGGGTGCTTACCTACAAGAGTGTCTTCTGGCACAACTAGCGGGAGTGCGACAACACAATCGACTCAATGCCTGGTGGAACCTCTCGCATACGTATCAGGTAAGCAAGCAGAATCATAAACCACGGACGAGGGGGACACGTCTACGACGCGGGCTCTGCAGTTTCGGCAAGGCATGGGCGGGGGCGAGACAGCCTAGGGCTGGACTGACTCCACCACCTGAGGATCATGGCTATGTGAGAGGGCGGTCACGAGTGGGTGCGTTGACTGTGGAAAATGTGTTACAATGGCGACTCAGCGCAGCAGGCGTGAGTCACATCACGACAAAGCACGATATGACGAACGCATTCGCCAGCGTCACGCACCACCACCTCGATGACACGGTCCAGCAGCTGTACCAGCCTGAGGATGTGGAGATTATGGTAACAAGACATCGGAACACAGCGTGCGTGGCCGACGCTTGCGATGGCACGGGTGCATTTCTGTATCGAGTGGGTTGTTTCATGGGTGACGCAGACGCAGCCGCGAAGTTTAGGCTGGCTTTTGAGACGCCGACGGCTGAGTGGAGGAGAGATCTCTTTCCCACGACGTCGGTCCACGAGCTGGCAGCAGGGTGCGCAGTCACTCAAGAAGTGTGCGATCTGGGCTTGAGGAAGTATGCTGATGACCTCACCTGTACACATATTGCCCCAGATGCGCGCAGTGCAGCTCGACGAGTGGAAGTTTCAGATCAGTACGTTGATGCTGCACTGGGACGGGTTGGCCTCGCCCAGAGCCGTGCGAAAAAAAAGCTGTTAGCCCATGGTTCGTGGGAAGAGGGGCTCAGAGGTCTGCGAGGGCCCTGCGCTACCACAAGGTCGCCATCTCGGGGGAGGTCCAGGCGACCTCGGTGTTCTTGGGAGCTCGCACGCAGTCTTCGGGGAGGAACGACGAGGAGATCCGAGCTAGATGCGCGGCGATCCGAGTGGGCTGGCGAGGAATGGGGAAGTTCTGGAAGACCTGTCAGAATTTCAATCGGAGGCGCCCGGTGTTTCGGGCTCGTCTTATAGGAGCGGCACTGGCGGGACTTGAAGCACGGTCTTGGCGGAGGAGCAGGTCAGGCGTCTTGACTCGGTGGCTACGCGCTATGCTGCTGCGCTGTGCCTCGAGGTAGCGGTCTATCGCAGGCTGAACGAGGGTGAGATGGAGGAGGGGGGCGAAGCTGCGGAGGCCAGGTGGAAGGTGACGACGGTGTGCGCGGAAGCCGTGTGGAAGCGCATCGCGATAGTACCCCCCAGCGTGGAACTTGGGATCCGACGGCTCCGCCACTTTCAAGCTCTCGTCCGCAATCCCCAACGGCATGTTCAGGAGCTCGCTGCTGTTTTCGGGAAAGTCACTTTCGAGAACCCAGAGGTCCAGACTTTTGCTTGGGCGCCACCGTGCGCCCCGACCATCGCCCCAAAGGATCGCGCGAACCCCTGGGCCCTGCAGTGCAAGAACGACCTGTTTCTTCTTGGGGAACTCCAAGGGGGCTTGGATTTCTTGGAGACGGTGGGGGGCGACCACGCGAAGGTTTTCCTGGGCGCTGATGTGAAACAGCAGTTTCTCAAGTTCGATGTAGCGAAGCTCCGCAAGGCCTGGCTTGAGCGCCCCGCAATTTCTCCCACGAGGCCGCACGAGGATCAGGAGTGCTTCGAGGGCGGTTTTCTGTGTTCGCTGATCGACGAGGAGGGTCTGGAATGCAACCGTAGGTTTCGCACAATGGCGGCGCTGCGTGCGCATCAGACACACGCAGGCGGAGGGGGGCACGGAAAACCGAACTTCTTCACGAGGTTGACAGTGACGAACCAGTGTCCTTCGTGTTTGTCATCGCTCGCTTGCCGCCGCACTGCTATCAACCACATCGCTGCTGCCAATCGGCATGGACGATGCATCGCTGACTTCTCGGTGTTCAATCGTGCTGTCATCGCTCCGCTGCTGTTTGAGTGCCCAGAAACTGAATGTGGCCAAGATTTCGATGATCTCCAAGCCCTGCAGCACCACATTCGCACTACTCATCTTCCTCAACCTCGGCCGCATGTCGTGGATGCAGGGGCTGCCCGAGATAGCCGAGGGCGACGCCGAAGGACGGCCGAGGAAGTCAGCCAAGGGAGGGCGCAAGGGCGGCCCCCAGACCGCCAAGGCGGCCACTGCTGCAGGCAAGGGCGGCGGCAACGAGAAGGCGCCGAGGGGGGGCGCGAAGCTAGTGGACCTCAGCGAGCTCGACGGCGACGAGATAGAGGTGTCGACCATGCAGAAGTTCTTTCCCGTGATGATGCGCTTGCTGCTGAACTTGGCGCACCGCCAGAGGCAGATCGAGTCGATCGAGCTGAAGACGTTCCTCATGTCGTCAGGGCTGCAGCCAGCGGTCAAGGCGCGGGGGCGAGTGCGAGCGTGGATCCGTGCCGCCGAGGAGATCCGCGCAGGCAACGACAAGGAGCAGGGCCAAGTGAAGATCAAGCAGATGGGCACGATCTCAGTGGCATGCTTCGCGGGAGTGTTCGAGGGGCTGCTGGCAGAGGGGAGCGCGGTGGGCCGCGCGAACCAGCGACAACTCAGCACTCTGAAGGAAGAACTAGCGAAGCTGACCGTACACGAGATGGGCGAAG